CTCTCTGAGTGAGAGATCTGTTTTTGCTCTCCATTTGTCATAATCTTTGGAAGTCTGGGTGCGTTCAAAGTCTTTGTCTTCAGTGTCGGAGATCCTATCTTCTGCCTCGTCCATCCTCTGACGGAGGGATTCAACCGTACTCTTCAAATCTGCAACCTCTTGTTTCAGTGTATCATAATCCTTGATCATTTTATCTTTGAAATCATTGAATTCCTGGGACAGCTTTTGAATGATTTGAAATTCTAGTTCCCTCTTTTCCTTCAACCTGTTGATTTTATTTGCTATCCAGATTCAGAACTCAATTTCTGACATTTCAGATATCTGTTTATGTAGTGGGTCTTCAATTTTGTCTCCCCCATCGTTCTTTGGGGGGGGGGGTAATCTACTCTGGTTATTCTGGTTGCCAGAGTTTTTCTGCTGATTCCACCCCATGTTGAATTTGCACCTTTCAGAAACCATCCCTAAAACCGTTCTGCCAGTGGCTTCTTCTAGTTTTCTCCTGGGCACAACCCTGTAAGGCCCCAGGAGGCAGGGCCAGCAGGCAGGGTGATGCAGCCCACCCCTGCAGGAGTCAGTTGATCTCAGACCGCCAAGGCCCTGGGAGCCTGGCGTGACTCACCCCAGCAGAAGTCAGTTGCCCTCACAGGCCACCAAAATCCCAGGGGCGGGCACACAGCTGGCAGGATGGTACCACCCTCTCTGGCAGGAGTTGGTGATGATTGTGGCCGGGAGGCCCTGGGAGGCAGGCACATGGCTGCACCATCTGCCCCAGCAGAGGTCCGTTGCCCTCACGGGCCTCCAAAGCCCCGGAGGCCAGCGTGCAGCTGGCAGGACAGCGCGACCCTCCCCGGCAGGAGCTGCTGGCAACCGCAAGCTGGCAAGGCCCCTGGAGGTGGGCGCGCCACTGGTGGGATGGCATGACCCTCCCTGGCAGGGGCTGCTGTTGACAGCCAGCCGACAAGACCCGGGGAGGCTGGCGCAACCCTCTCGGGCAGGAGCTGGTGGTGATCGCAGGTCAGGGGACCCTGGGAGGCAGGTGCGTGGCTGCGTGACCCGCCCCAGCAAAAGTCAGTTGCCCTCACCAGCTGCCAAAGTCCCAGAGGCCGGCATGCGGCTGGTGGGACTGCACGACCCTCCCAGGCAGGAGTCGATGGTGACTGTGGGCCAGCAAGGCTCCGGGAGGTGGGTGCTCAACTGCATGACCAGCCCCAGCAGAAGTCAATCACCGTCAAGGGGCACCAAAGCCCTGGAGGCGGGCACATGGTGGGCCGTGTAGCCCTCCCTGTCCGGCATCAATCCTGGTCACCAGTGCCAAGGTCCCGGTAAGTGCAGATAGCCGCCGGGGAGACAGCTGAGTGCAGAATGTGCTGACTGAGGGGGATCCGTCTGCACACAGAAAGGGTGGATCAAGCATTTCTCCCCATGAAGGACCAGGATGGGGGCTTGGTCTTGCAAGGGTGGGTGGATGCTGTTCTTTGGTCTCCTCTCACTGTCTCTGCCTGCAAGGGGAGGGAGGGTGGACTGGAAGCTCAAAATGGCAGTGCGAATGCCAGTTCCACTTTTCTGCCTGGAGGAGGGTGTTTCGTGTCTCAGCCAGATTCTTCCAGGGTGGTAAACTTCCCTGTCGGCAGTTCTCACTCCTGGCGTGAGAGAATAGGTCCTCAGTTTATCGGTGGCCTGTAGGAGACTGGGAGGAGCGGTTGAAGAGGAAACAAAGGAAAAGCACACCTTTCTTGGGGGAGGGGATGGGTGCTATTCCTTTGGGGTGAGTTATGTATCTGTGGATTGTCCTCTAGGAGTCTCCACCTATCTCAGAAGAGGTGTCCTGCCAGCATCACTCTTCTCTCTCAGCTGGGCTCCCAGTTTTCAACTTTGTTGGGGGTTTCGCCGGACTTTATCCTTTCCTCTGGACAGGAGCTTCTGTCGGAAGCTGGTGCCTGTCGGCCATCTTGACTACAAATACCCCCCCACACACACAGATTATTCTTAAATGTTTATTTGATAATTGGTCACCCTCTGAGTTGGTTTTTGACTAACTGGTTTTTGACAAAGTGGCCTGGAGCAGTGTGTGTCAACCTTGTTTATTTCATGGCACACTTGAACCTATAGTTAAACTCTCACGGCACACTTAAATTGTGTTGATCAAAAAGAAGAGTTTAAAAAAGGTTATACTTACTGTGCTTTGTATGTCTTTCAAAAATAACTATGATCTTTAAAAATTTTCACTGTTCACCTGAGATACTCTCAGTACTCTGGTTGAAAATTACTGCTCTAGAGTATGAGTCAGGGAGATACTGGGCAAAGTTTTGGGTTGCAGGCACACTGCCTGCCTGTTGGGGACACTGAGCTTATTGGAGAGCCCCATCTCAGCAGCCAGGTCATCCCAAGGGCAACTTACAGCCTGGGACATGTCTTCCTCTAGCAAGATCCCTGGTTTCTTAGTCTCCTGCTCTGTACTCATTTCTTCTCCTTACCTGCCCTTTCATTCTGTTTCTTGATTCAAAAACTAGACTTTGCCAAAGGCATTGCAATCTTTGCCTCACATGTGGCACAACATGTTTTAGTAAACATTTGCAGCTTTGTGTTTCTGAGTCATCCCTGGGTGAGTCAAGGGTTCAGATCCTGCTCTGCAGGCTGGAGAGGAACTGCATCGTTCTTCAACTGAAGGCATTTGGTGAACACAGGAGGCTGGGCTGACTCCTCAGTTGATGCACCAGAGATAAGCCCAGAGATGTGCTCTGAAATGCTTTCACTCAAGGAACAGATCAAGTGCTCATGGTTTCTTCTTTGCCCCTCTTCCAAACACCATCTGTTCCATCTCAGGTAATCAGCCACACTCTTGAGGTCTGCACCCACCATTTCCAGTCTGCTGGAAAGTTCTAGATAATAAGCTTTCTTCCCTTGTTTTTCTAATCTTGTGGGACAGTTTCTTGGGTTAGATTTTGTAGGATAGGAAACTAAATGGTCTTACCTACAATACTAGCTTGATTGTCCCTTTCCCTGGTTTCCAGTGCCATGGCTTATGGGATGAAGATGACATTGTTGAAAGTGACTCTGAAGGGGCAGACTCTGGTGATGATTTCTGCCTGACCTCTGGCAGAAGAGACTCTTACAACTCCCTCAAATCCATCAATCTGGCTGCATCTGTAGAGTCAGTGCACGTGACCTTCCCTGAGCAGCAGATGGCCATCCGGAGGAAATGCTCTGCCAACAGCTCCCAGATATCCGAGAGATCCAGCTTTTCTTCAAATAGATCCAAAAGAGGTATCTGTTAATGTGGTATCTCTAGGCTGGAATAAGCCCCCAAACTGTCTAGTTTGTCTGGTGCCTGTCAACCTGGGGCAGGAGAATTTACTGGGTTCTATCAAGAGACAGATACCATAATGTAAAAAGAAGGTGCTTTGAAATCAGATAGACCCAAGTTCAATTCCTGCCTCAGTTGTGTGACCTTGTTGCTCAAAACAACTGATTCCCCCCCAAGATAGGAATTTCAGGTAATTGTGAAAAGTGGTCAGCATACTGCCTAGTACCTAGTGAGGGTCAGGCTCAATTATATGCAAAATTCTTCTCTGTGTGTCCAGAGTAGATACACACACACAATTTATTTTAATACTGTATTTTGGTTTAATTGATGGGAATTTCATCCAAACTATCTAGTTATTTCCTAAGCCAGTTATTAATTTCTTATTAAACAACAGGTACAATCAAAAAGTAGATATACCTATGCCAGTCACTGTTGGAGTAACTGGGCTTCTGTACTTAACAGTTCTCATGTCTAAAGCTTTCTAAACACTTGTCTATATTCATTCAGGCAGACCCTGGCCTCAAAAGATCATGTCATATTCATTTTACAGTTAGAGAAATGAGGATGTGAAGACAGACATGGATCCCACCTGGAAAACTTGTAACCTAAAGTCCTATTTAGCACTGTAAAAAATTGTTATTCTAGTTTATTTTTTCCTGGGACAAAGATGTTACACATATAATAATCCAGGAAAGAACCACCATTGGGTGTAAAACCCCACAAATGTATTTTACTACAGAAGCAGAGTTGAGAGGATAGACCCCAAGGTGCTCAGTGATCATTCTCACCCTCTAACTCATCTTCATCCTCCGAGGCATCCTCTCAGCACCTGCGTAAGGGCCCCCCTGCCATGTGGGCTCCGGGGACTTCTGTGATATTCATATTAACCGAGCTCATTCCTTCCTTGACGTCATATGATTTATTTTTCTTTCTAGGCAGCACAAGCACTCGAAACAGCAGTCAAAAAGGAAGTAGTGTGCTGAGCATTAAGCAAAAAAGCAAAAGGGAACTTTACACAGAAAAGCTTCAAGAACATTTAATCAGAGCAAAAGCATTTACCATTAAGAAGTGAGTCCATGAAAACACTTTGGTCACATGTTTTAGTTTATGGCTGGGGAACTGGTATCCATTATTTCCAATAAACTGGGGGGAAGAGCAGAGAAATCTTTTCCTATATCATAAACGTCATCTGCATAAGGCAGGATAAATTGGCCCGTTATATTATTTGTAAAAATCATTTTTCGGTGAACATGATTCATTTTTATATCCATTGCACTTATGACACACTTTTTCTGTTTGAGCAGAAAAAAATGAGTCGTCTCAAAGGCTCAAAGTTTCTATTGCTAGGCATTATTGTGGTAGAGTCCAGCCAGAGAGGAACAGATGTCAGATCTGGAAAGGCCTTAGAGATGCACTCTCATCCTGGGATGGGGATGAAAAGGTACGGTGGGGAAGTGTTTTGTCTAGTGTCATATACACTGGTCCCACCTACCTGCTGGGGTTGGTCTTGGTGCAGCAGACTAGGGCTTCTAAATAAAGGCTCTGAGCCCAGAAGAGTTGGCCACACCTGAACATGGCCTTACACTAAAGGCAGATCCCAGAGCACGGCAAGGATCAGTCAGAATTAGACAGACAAGCCAGAACCAGCAGGAGTCAGAAACAAGATACAGAGCAAGGTGAAGATAGAACCCTGAGCAAGACAGGAACCAGGGTAGCTGCAAGACCCTGAACCTGGAGGCACAGAGGGCACCTGACATTCCAGCATGCTCAGCCAGGGGCTTCAAATCTGACCACCCTCACATATTCTCCATGTGATTATCATCTTAACCCTAGGCATCAGGTCTTATTATTACCCCTATTTTACGGAAGAATAAACTAAAATGCAGAGTTAAGTAGTGTGCTCAAAGGTCTCTTAGGTAGGGAGCAATTGACTCAAGCTACAAACACAGCATTTCATTTCTGGGGCTTTATACCACTCTGTTATTCTGTAAGCAGAGAGGGCTGTGGTACTCACCCTAGGGATGAACTATATACACTCTCTGTTATAGCAGGAGCTGCCTATGGGCTCTCCTGAGGTTCAAGAGGAAGGTGGGGCCTGGCTGGAAGGAGAAGTGCAGAGGAATGGCACGATCATGGTATCTGGTCACTTCTGCCATTCTGCCCTTCTGAAACAAGTGGGCGGGGTCTCTGTTTTGCAGGACTCTGAAAATATATGTGCCTATCAGGCAGTTCTTCTACAACCTCATCCACCCAGAGTACAGTGCTGTGACTGACGTGTATGTGCTCATGTTCCTGGCTGACACTGTGGACTTCATCATCATTGTCTTTGGCTTTTGGGCCTTTGGGGTAGGTTGGGGACAAAAGCCACAGCACCCCCACCAACACAGGATGGAGGCTTTCCTTCCTGGGAAGTGCCATTGGCATTTAAATTGCTATTTCTCTTCCCTAGAAACACTCAGCAGCTGCAGATATCACCTCTTCACTGTCAGAAGACCAAGTCCCGGGGCCATTTTTGGTGATGGTTCTCATTCAGTTTGGAACCATGGTAGTGGATCGAGCCCTCTACCTCAGGAAAACTGTACTGGGAAAGGTCATTTTCCAGGTCATTCTTGTGTTTGGAATTCATTTCTGGATGTTCTTCATCTTACCTAGTGTGACTGAGAGGTAAGGTCTTCAGAAGGTGGAGCATGGGCCCAAAATAGCATATTCTGCCATGTAAAATGTGCTCCTATATATAATGCTCACCCACATTTGGCCCAAACTTTCAGGAAAACACCCCTTGAGAAAGTGGCTGCCTATGGGCTGAAAGAAACACATGTGGGAAGGGCTAATGTTCCCTGGTAAATCACACTGCCCCCTGCAGCCATCTGCTCTGTGAAGGCTCCCCTTCCCTCTACCTAGGACCACAGCCCTCCCTGCCATGTCAGGGGCCGCAGCTGATATTGCCATGTACGTGGCCAGTTGGTCAGAAAATTCTGAGGCTGCGCAACCTATGGGCAGCAAGGTGGGTCCCGAGGCCTGTGCAAGGCTCCCTGTCTCCTCTGTGTGGCTAGGCCTTGATCCCACAGAGCCATGGCTCACCTCACCATCCCACCATTGCTCCCTTCCCTGATTATGATGCTCAGCAGAGGCTGCTCCTACAAACTCCTCCCAGAACCCACATCCTCCCAGATTGGAACCCCATGTGCCCTTAGGCCTGGAAGGAAGGGTACTGCAGCCCCACGATGCCCATTGAGCTCCCCTGCTCCCATACTACCTATGTATGATGTGCACCCTTTTTCTTCCCTCAAAAATTTGTGAGAGAAAATGTGCACATTGTATGTGGCAAACTACAGCATGCTGTGCAAGGTCCCTGCTGCACGTGCATGTGCACAGCTCCCAGCTGCCGTAGTGCAGCAGAGCCACCTCATAGGCAAGAGGGACAGGTTTGAATCAGTTTTAAATTCAGTGTGAATGGATTCTTTAAAACATATTCATTGGATTTTATTCACATTCATGATGACAAGAATTTTCAGAATAAGAGGTGACAACCTTATTGACCAGAGCAAACCTGGGTTGCATGTGTTGTGTTTCTCTGCCCCTGACTACATGGGAGATGAAGTGGAGCACAGCCTCCAGTGTGTTCTTAGAGGGAGAGTAGGCCTGAGACTATTTTATCTGAGAAATGGATGGACAGGATGAAGGCTGTTCAACTTGGAGAAGAAATATAGAGGAATGGTGGGGGCAGGTGACAGTAGCATCTGCGATGTGAGACAGTGATGGAGTTAATGGTAGCAGGTTTGAGAGCACCTGGGTGGGGGGCTCTGGGCTCAGCGAGTGGGCAGACCCAGAATGTAAAGATGCTGCTGCTGTTAGTACAGCGCATGCCCCTGTCTGCAGTGAGTGGAGGGCTAGGCTGGGTGGGATTGAAAAAGACCAGCCTGACGTCAGCAGGGAGAGGGCCAGTAAGATCACTGAAGGTAGTTGCTGTCTTTCCCTTGGCTTCGTGGCACCCTAAGCGCTGGGGTGCTGATCTTCAGTGTGCCAGGTCTCATTGCATCTCAAAACTCTTCTCCCTCCCCTCTCTCCTCTCTGCTTCCTCCAAGCTGTGGTTCTGTAGCCTCCTCAAGATGTCACTCCTTTGTGACTCCCTACTCTACACCTCTACCCAAAACAGTACTTGTCATCAAGTTGATGCTTAACACGTGAACAAATGAAGGAGTCAATCAATAAAAGAAAAACAAAGTAGATTGCTATAAATGGGAAGCATCACCTCTGTTAGCTTGTGAAAGAAAAGGGTCCACAGAAGGTGAATATGGAATTGTCCATATAACATGATAGGAATGAGAAATTTTAATAAATTCTCTGAATTTATATACACAGGGAAACTATAACTATTTGTCCTTGGCTTGGAGGGCATCATACCTCTCATCCAGTGAAGGTGCCACTGTTTGTTACAGCCTAAAACCACCTTCAGAATTGCTTTCCCAGACTGTGGCATACGACTTCAAACATCCTCAGGCACCACTGAAATGTCTTCATATTTAACAGTAAATGTGATCTTTTGATCACACCTCAGAATCACATGTAGCCAAGTTTCATGAATAATGTATCAGTCAGGCAGGTGGATACCATTTTTGGAAGTATAAATAGGGAGCAATGAAAAGTAGATTTTACTTACATGGCTCATAAATTGATTCAAAGGTAATTTCTAATGAGAAAATATAAATTTTTTCTAACCATGGCTATAGCTTAACTAGCTGCTTTTGCTTGAATGTTTAGGCTCTGACCTTTTGATTTTGGTATAGGAAATATTTCTTTATAACAATAAATGGTGACAATACAAATATTTTATAAAGTAGAATTAGAATAGTCTTTCCTGAGTCTTAAGTAGAACTAAATAAATAAAGGATTGCTACCCAGAAGACACATAATAGCTCGGTAAATTCCCCACTCCATACAACATATTGGGAGAGTAAATACAACTCAGATTGTAAGAATGATTCAGATGAAGACAGTTGTCTGTACAAATACTAAGATTTGCTTATGAGGATGTTGTAAATCTTATTATTTAGTCTTTAAAATGGAACAAATATAATTTTCTCTACAAATATTTAATTATACTCACTCCTTAAATCAAAGAAATAAACCAAGCCCTACACTCACAATAGCTGGATGAATTTAGATATTTTTTCTAATATTTAAAAGCATCAAGTAGGCGTTCTCTACTAGGCCTCATAGAAACTCTTGATTTCAGAGAAGAAAGAGACATTAGAAAGCTTTCTAAACATACTATAATTTTGAAAATTGATAGGTGAACCCCATAAAGAAAAGTGTTCTCCCCAAATTCATTCAGCAGTGAGTGGTGAAACTAGCTTCCAGTCCCAGGCCCTTGGGCAGGTGCATCATCTACTCTATAGGACTCCCTCCCCCAGAGGAGTGTCCTGTACTTGCTTCCAAGCAGACTTTTTAAAATAACACAGCCACTGTCCATGTGAAGTGTGAAAAGTGCTTGCTTATTCCAATCCCAGAAGACAGCACATAGGCCAGAGCCTGGCTCTTTGCCAACTCCTCAGAGACGCCCACAGAGAGAAGTGCTTTCAGAATATGCACAGGCAAAGCCATGGAGGGTCCCTTTCACAAGATGGACGCACCAGTTGGTTTGGTAGTTCCTGCATGTATTATTGCCATACAAATTACCACAAATTCAGTGGCTGAAAGCAACACAAATTTTTCATCTTACAGTTCTGTATGTCAGGAGTCCACAGTGAGTATTCCTGGCTGTGCTCATTCCAGGGGAGAATGTTTCTTTCCCTCTTCCATCTTCTAGAAGCTGCCCACATTCATTGACTTGTGCCTTTTCTCATCTTCAAAGCCAGAAAGGGTAGGTTGAGTCCTTTTCATTGCATCTTTCTGATCCTTCGTCTGTTTTCACTTCTGCCTCTAATCATAGCTTGGGAAGGTTCTCCCCCTTAACAGCTCTTTGTGATCAGACTGAGCCCAGCTAGATAATCCGGGATAATTTCCAAATCCCTAGGTCCTTAAACCTTATCTGCAAAGTTCTCTTTGCCATGAGAGGCAAATATACTCAGTTTCCAGAATTAGGATATGTGCATCTTGAGGAGTATGGGACATTTTTCTCTCTACCATAGTGCTCTTCCCAAGCATTTGAAGAGACTGTCAACATAGCAACATCTTCCGAACCAGATATGGCTGGAATATTTGTTGTAATACAATAGCAGTGTTTTTAAGTGGGCCCCTCCTGTGAAAGTCTTCCATATACTCATTTGGTTCATTTTATTGATTGAGTGCCTTCATTATATTACCCCCAAGTAGTTACTTTTACATGGTCTAACAGATGCTAAATTTATAACTTATCATAAAAAGCAAACCTTTACCCTCTTAAAAGCTGGGATTGTTTCCTTTAACTGTTTGCTGTGTCCAATTGAACTGTTTTTCTACGTGTTCTGAGTTTTGCTTGAAACACCCTGTCCTCTTTCTCTGTGGCTGATTTGGATTGGCCTACTATATCATGTTTTCAAGATCACCTCTTCCAGGAAGCCTTCTCTGGCATCACCGTCTTATGTTAGAGGGCCTTTCTCTGCATTTTGTATGTAGTTTCTGTCAGAGAACTTACTTCTCTAATTGCTAGGTTTGTGTCCTGTCTCTTCTAATAACCTATGTTATTATGTTCAGAAATGGAAAGTCTTCAGAAACCTTGCTGGCAATTTTTTTTGTCTACTTTTTTTTTAAATTAAATCATAGCTGTGTACATTAATGCAATCATGGGGTACAGTGTGGTGTTTTCATATACAATTTGAGATATTTTCATCAAACAGTTAACATAGCCTTCATGTCATTTTCTTAGTTATTGTGTTAAGACATTTATATTCTACTTTTAGAAAGATTCTCTTGTACCCTTATAAGATAAACCATAGAGGTGATCCCACCAATCACCCTCCCTCTACCCATCCACTCGGCTCCCGTCTCCTCTTCCTACCCCCTCCCCATATTCTTAGACAATAATTAGGTTATAGCTTTCATATGAAAGCTATAAATTAGTTTCATAATAGGGCTGAGTACATTGGATACTCAGTTTTTCTTCCATTCTTGGGATACTTTGCTAAGAACATTTTCCAGCTCCATCCATGTAAACATGAAGGAAATAAAGTCTTCATCTTTCTTTAAGGCTGCATAATATTCCATGGTGTACATATACCACAGTTTATTGATCCATCGTGGATTGATGGGCACTTGGGCTTCTTCCATGACCTAGCGATTATGAATTGGGCTGCAATAAACATTCTGGTACATATATCTTTATTGTAATGTGATTTGGGGTCTTCTGGATATATACCTAATAAAGGAATTGCAGGATCAAATGGCAGGTCTATTTTTAGTTCTCTAAATGTTATCCAGACATCTTTCCAAAAGGAATGTATTAGTTTGCAATCCCAACAGCAGTGTAGAAATGTTCCCTTTTCTCACCATCCACGCTAACATCTCTGGTTTTGGGATTTTGTGATATGGGCTAATCTTACTGGAGTTAAGTAGTTTTGATTTGCATTTCTCTGATTATTAAGGATGGTGAGCATTTTTTCATATATCTGTAGGCTGTGCACTGATCTATTTTAGAGAAATTTCTTATCAAGTCCCTTGCCCACCCCCAGATGGGATCACTTGTT